AAAACGATAGGGGACGCCCTAATCCCCAAACGGGCCTAGCACAAACAAATAATTTTGACGCCTAATACCGATCTGCGACTGCCAAGCCTCTCAGTGGAAGCGTGCGGTCGCATATCGCTTTATGGTGGTGCTGGAAGATGGTGACCGTATGTGATCGTGAACGAAGAATTTGCAGATGCACATGCTGTTGTTGTCGCTGGGTTCCTTCCATATCCTTCTCTGATGCTTTACGTGCCAAGTGCTTTTCGGACATGGCGCCTGGCTGATTCGAAGTGAGTCGACCTTACACAACCGATTGAATGCCACTTGTCCATTTGACTGGGGTGGCAGATCAAAGCTGTTGGGGCTGTTCCAAACACCGAGAGCCAGACCGGAATTGATGACGAAACTCGAACATGCGACATCCATTCACAGTAATTATGCATGCAAAAAGCCCCATTTCACTGGTGTTCGCGTCTCTTGCGGGTTTGGGGACCTTGAGAAACGGGAAACGGGTCGCCCACCCAAAGCGTCTGACATACTCAGCCGAGCTTGTGTGACGAAGTCTTGTCCTGCGGTGGAGCCGTGTTCTCGGAGGCAATGGTGGCTGCTGTTGGCAGATCCCAGCGGCTGGAGCTTCGATGTTTAGACGGATCAGGCAAGGGCTTGCATCTGAGCAGAAGGAATAAATAGTCGCCTGTTGTTCACGTGAATTGCAAAGCGGGGTCTCAAGAAATTCGGGGCACAAGATCCGCCGGTGCAAAATCAAAGGTACCAACGCAGAGGTCAGCATGCACTTCGCCACAGTAATGCCAGAGGCGGGTGTTTGCACTTCTGCTGGTCACAGCATGTCGCGTTCGGCCGTTCTTCAACGCACAGTGATGCACACAGGCGTGCTTGAGCATCACGGCCTCTTCAGCAACCTGCCTTGCGCCGAAGAGCGAGGCTAGTGTGTGCGCATGTTCAACCTAGACCTGAGCCACCCTGATCTCCGATGTCATTCGGTCCCGGTTGAAAGAGCCTCGGGCTGCCAGCGGAAAAGATTTGCGTATGGCATGTCATTTTTATCTCGCGGAGCCGGGGTCGTATTCTTGGAGGTCTGAAGGAGCTGCTTCACTCCAACTGACTATGCATGCTTATGCTTTCTGGAAATTGAATTTGGGCTTTATCCCCGACCAGACAGCGGGAATGGGTGGACCAGTTGACACCTCTGACTTAGGTTGTCATTCTCGAGAACTGCTACATATACAGAATCATCCGATCATCCGGCAGGCTTGGAGTTTCAATCCTTTCGTGGAGGCGAGTGCGTGGATCCCGGCAAAGGACGGTTGAAGGAGGAGCGGCGGGAAGATGTCTGAGATCTTTGCTGAGGTTCATAGCCGCGATCCACGACTCGGCAGCATCGGCCGCAGTGCCAAAGTCGCCACTGCACAGCCGAGCTCCTGGGAGTCGAGCGCAGTCGCTGACATGCTGGCTTGCAACGTGTCTGAGGACCGAGACTCTGACCAACTGCCATGCAGATCCACATTGGACGCAGCCTATGGTCCTCAAGCTGGTGCCTGAGCCCGCGGGCTCAGAGAACTTTCAGAACGCAGACGCTCACAGCGCGCGCTCGCGCGCTCTGCAGTGGCATGTAAAGAGGATGACGTAGGATGGCCAAGGCCTGGGCTCTTCTTGCGCGTCGTCGTCTGCTCGGAAGCGCTCGGCGTGACAAGGAGGGCGTGAGCAGAGAGATGAAAGAAGAGGAAGCGAAACAAACAAAAGAAGAAAGTGCGAAGAAAGAGCGCAGCGCGCCATGGCTGCGGTTTTTCAGGGCTTGGGACGAGCTGGCGGAGCTGGTCATGGAGCTGCCCGAGGCCAGGCTCCATTGCACAAAGACCGGCTTTTCGCCATTTCGAACAAAAGAACCGTTTTGCTGTCGAAAGATCCGGCTCGCCGGCTGCGGACGATGGTGGACTAGAGCTCATGTGTTTCTTTGGCAGGCGCTGAAGCTTGCGCAGGGGTCAGTGGAGCCCAATCCTTAAACTGTGGACAAGCCTGCAATCTTATTTGGCACCGAGGGTGCTTGTTTGTGCAATTTTGATCATCGCATCACTCCGAAACCGCCAAGGCGGAAGTGGACAATGAAGCGGCCCGAGGCTTAGTGTTAGAAACGAGAAAACCGGGCCGGGACGACATGATTCATGGGAGCGTCGTTGTGTTCGCATTGGTTGCCTTGTTGGTTGGCGAGAAGATTCGATCCCAAAGTTCCGGGACCCCAGCGCATGGCGCATGGACGTATTGCAGCAAATTCGCTCTCAGCAGCTGATCTCGCAGAAGACCTTGGATTGGTTTAAGCCTTTGTTCGACAAGGAGCTAGAGGAGGCTGCAGAGATAGCGGAGTGCACTGCCTTTCAGATAGACTGGGATGACACAGAACATGTCGCAGAGGAACGACCTCTGGAAGAAGGTAGCAGGCTGACAGGCAGCTTTGAAACTATCGAAATACCGGATGGAGAAGAGACCACGGTGCGTGTCCAGTACACCCGTTCCTCCTGTGCTACCGCTCATGGAAATGCAATTTGGGCGGCCTCTGTTGCTGCTGCGCTGCATGTCGGGAAGCTGCTCACTCTTGCCAACTCTTTCCGCGAAGGGTCTAGCATGCATTCCGCGGATCTCCGGAAGATTCGCGTCATAGAGTTTGGCGCTGGCATCGGGATTCCATCCCTCTTCCTGACGCAAAAGTTAGGCGAACTGCAGCACACTGATGAGCGTGCGATTTCCGACGAGAGTCTAAATGCTTCTCTCAGCAAGCAAGTCTACGTCACGGATGCTCGATCATACCATAACATCCGCCAAATCCTCTTCTCCGCAGTGCGGCATCCTTACTCGCATCTGCTTCGCGTGGCTCCACACAACTGGGGAGAAGTGGACAGCTTCGGGACCATGCGCTTTCTGGATGACGAATGTGAGGGCTTAGCGTTCGATTTCCTTGTGATTGCCGACTGTGTGTATAATCCGGTCTTTCATCAGCCATTGCTGGATAGCATCTGCCATGTAATGGCGACTCATGGTCGTGCTGTCATAACATTTTCCCTGCATCCGAACACGGACGAGAAGAATGTCTGGGCTTTCCTTGATCACGCTCGGCATCGAGGTCTGAACGTACACAACCCAGAGGGTCAAGAAGAGAAGGACTACGAACCCTTGATGCAAAAGCTGGGGCTCTGGCAGTCAAACATGGGCAGGCGGTACATCGTACACATCCGAGAGCTGTCCTGGAGATGTGCCTCCTAAACAGCCCTCATACTGCACACTCTGTGTGTCATACCACAACGCGGAGTAAGCTGCTTGAGGTGCTGCAACTGCTTCGTCGGAGCGAATTCCGAATCACGGACACAGTCCTGAATTGGGCACCCAACTCCCGTCCAGGCTCAAGAACAACCAGCGCACAGGACAAGAAAAGCATCTTGAAGAGATTCTTTACTGCTTGCCACCGACTGTGAATGATTCTGAGCAACCCACTTGCCTGTCCCAAGTTGATGTGGGTTGATGTGATATCCATGCGTAGCTCTAGCTCATATTCTCCAGGTTGCAGGTGTCAGTGGTGCTTCTACACGCTTTCTGTCCAGGCTGATCGACATGAAGCGGCACGGCGAGTCTGAAATTTTCCTGAGCTTCGCACAGGTGGCCGCAGGTGCTTGCAGCCACGACGTTCCTCTAATTCCACAGCCCTTTCAGGTAGGCGGCAATGTTGCTGCTCCCTCCTCAGAGTCTTTTTGGCTCATTCCCAAGCAGGCACGGCCAAACAGCGTGACTTCAGGCCTCTGCCTTCGAGATCGCGGAGCACCCCATGCCCATGCAGGAGGGAGCCATGCCGCGGCCGCTCCACCCGAAAGATTGAGCCCCAGCACTGAACATGTTTTGAGTCGAAACACGGTGCAGACCCTGCACCTGCAAAGCAAGGCTGCACCGGATGGCAGCCCTGTGGGCCCAGCGGGAGCAAGACCGAAGCATACGCGCCCTGCTTGGACTCGAATCGTGAACGGCTGTAGAGCGGCTTTAAGTTCTTCCGTGCCACATCGAATTGCTGCTTATGTGCTCAGAAATCTTCAAGGACCATGCAGCTTCCGATCGCTCCCGGCTATACACTGCCGCCGCAGCCCTCCGTGCAGGGACATCCTGCACGTGCAGTTGAATTCAAGGTGACAGGCAGCCAGGAAATCTGATGTGTTTAGGTTTGGGAGCATCGAGCCGTTGCCCAGCCAGGAATGCAGCACCTGGGGCAAGTGCTTCAAGCGCATGGCCAAGCCCCGGCCTAATTTTCCGGGCAGTGGCATATGTAGGAGGCACCTGGATCTGAACTTGTAGCATTATCCTGGCAGCCAAGCCAGGAGATTCCAGACGTCATCGCGCAGCGTTATGGGCCGCCGCGGCAGCCGAGGCTCTGCGGGGCTGCGTGATGATGCGTGATGTCTGCAGTTTCTGATTCAGAAAAAGAGTCGTGTCCGGGAGATAAGCTCCATTCAGCTCCTGGCCAGAAATCGTAGGCCAAGGATGCAGTTCGTGAAGAGCTCGTTGCGCTTGGGGATTGCCGCAGGTGGGTCCAAAAATGGGATTTGAGTCTACGTATGCTTTGACGCGTCTGTGCGCGAAGTACGCATTTCTAATTAACCCTTGAACTCTGCATTAGGACGGGGAAATAGGTTGGAGTGCAGAGGATGCAGGGGCGAGACTGTGAGATTTGTGTATCAGGGGCCGACTGTGGGGTGCCCGACTTCCTTGTCACTCATAATATGACTATATTGACACCAAACTAAGTGCACAAGACTTTGTGCCTTGGGTACGCTAAGTCAGGTATAAGTCTACGAGTCTTTCCGACCCTGTACGTATAAGCAGTGTGCACAACGCAAGAAGGGGAATAGGTGAAGGCAGGGGGGAATTGCCTTCCTTCCTGCCTTCCACTTATTTAGGACGACGTGCTTCTGATCCAACCCCGCCCGTAAGTTCTTGAAAGCTATCTCAACGAAAGCGCAACATGGAAAGAGTCCTGTGTGCTCCTTCTTGAGGTTCCAAGATCTTCCTCCACCTCCGGCACTCCGGCATGTTGCGCCGCCATCACCAGAGGACTTCAGGAGCATTGCAAGCCGACTTGATCTGGGCTTCCTCAGGAGCTCTCCCAGGCTTTGCAGCGCGGGCCAACACAAGGAGCCATCGTGAAAGGCAGTGTGCGAGATGCTCAACTTCCGCAAATGCCAACGAGCTCCGCAGAATTTAGGCATCCCGAGACTCAGGCCGTTGAGCTTCCTAAGTGCTCCTGGCAATCCTCATCTCGCCCTGCTCTCAGCGTGGCCGAGTGTGGCCGAGCTGCCGAGCTTTAATGCGTTGATAGCGGTACCATGTGGTACTCTTTCCAGGCCTGGCTTGCTCGTCGGTGATGATCCTGATTCTCTCAAGCGGCATTCTCCTGGGTTGGAACGCCGAATTGCACCGTCGACGGGGCATTTCTTAAAATGACAGGCAAGTTCACGAGGGAACGCACGAGTCATGCCTGTTCTCAAAGCTTTCTTCGGGATGTTCGGCTGGAACGTCAACGGGTAAGTTCATTTGCCAGCTACCCACCTGCCTTCGCTTCAGAAGCTCATCTGTGCCTGCGTGGAAGCACCTGCAGCTTTTTCACTGAAGGGAAACCGGTCCTTCGGCACAAACAATCGAGGACGTGCTTCCAGAGCGATGGAAAAGCTTTGGACAGCTGTGAAAGAGCCGCTGAAACGTTTGAGTCCATGGGCAAAAGAGGAATCCGTGCCGAAGTTCGTGAGATGACCGTGGTCTTAATGTCAGTGCGGGTTGAGCCTGTCATCATGAGATGGGAGTGTCTCTCATTGATGCTGTGGGCACGATGCCGCAACGGACCAACTTCTACTTCCAGACGGCATGGCAGATCCTGCTTACGATGCCCAACCCTCATGAACCAGCTATCTCGCATCGTGCCATCTTTTGATAGTCGCCAACTCGGAGAATCGACGATTATCACAGTGGGTCGCGCACCTCGAGTGGTAGCTGGTGACATCGTGACAGATGAGGCAATGGTCAGCAAGGTATGTTGGCTGGATTCTGAGGCCTTGGCCGCCTTACATGCTCCTTTCCGAGGGCCGTCGCGTTAGTCACTGGACATCCTGCACAGCGGCCTTTCGTCGCTGAAGACAATGCATGCATGTATCGCCAAACGGCGATGATCATTCCGAATTCATTCCTCATGTCATTTTAAAAGCACTCTTCGCAAGCGTGCCCGCGCCACAAGAACAAGCCCATTCCCAGTTCCAGCCCAGCGCACGGCACCGGCAACAGAGCTGGATTGACTTCGACTGTGTTTTGAGTGTGTTTGTGGCCAATGGCATGTAGTGATTTGCTTGCATTGTCATCTGTTTGGTCACGCATGCTGTTCATGCGGTACCATGTTAGGAGGACTCTCCGCTTGTGTTAGTGGTCAGCCATTCCCAAGCCGAGCATAAAGAGCATCTGTAACTACATTTCCTATCGCCACCGCTGCGTGAGAGCAGATGGAACTTCTCCGAGCTGAGCTCGCCCAGGTGGAGGGGGTGCGGGGTGCGGGGACTTCAGCCTTCTTTTTCGAGTCAGTTAGCACAGGCACGGCGGCGGCAAAAGGCGGCAGAGGCCAAGCTGCGTGCATTGGAGGACGAGGCTAGGACGGCTAGGACAGTGTCAGGCCCATCGCTGAGGAGCCGAGGAGGGTCTTGTCGGTTCTGAGGCCTCCGAACTACGGCAGCTGGAGTCCGCCAAGAAGGTGCAGAGGAGTTCGTGCAATATCCAATGTTTGGCTCTGACCCGGCACCAGAGGCCGGTACGACGCCGTCAGCTCAGGATGTGGAGGTCCAGTCCCCGTGCTTGCAACATCTTACTCGTGCGACTCTTCTGGGCAGCGCAAGTCTTTCCGAAGGTGCCCCTAGTTTCAGCAGCTGGTTTGCTGCAGCTTCCTTGGCAGGAGAGTTGCATGGGCATGTTGGTCTAGGTTGACGGCCCAGAGCATAGTCTAGCTGCCAAATCTGTGCACTTGCGAGGCAGCGATGTGCACTTTCTTCGGAGGCCTGGACACTCCGGAATGAACGCTTGTTAAGATCTGCGTCGTCTGACCGTCGGGATCCTTACGCAGCCAGCTCGTAGCCTGCCAGGCTGGCGCATTGCCTTGCGAGCTTTGGCCGCGAATGGCTCAGTGCGGGTGCTCTTGGTATGCGAATTCGCGTCTCGCAGACGGGAGCTCCCCAAAATTTGGTTGTGTTGAGTTCGTATAGTGGCGGGCTCGGAGCTGTCGCCCGAGGTGCGTTGGCGTTGACTGTTGGATTTTTAAATTCTCATGGCAGTTTGGCTCATGCACTGGATACCCCTTGCATTGTCTCGCATCAGGTATGTCTACTCTTCCATTGCTCGGGCAGCGGTTCCCGAGGCTGATCATGCGAGACAGCTTACAAAAGCATGCAGACTCGGCCGAGGCGGTGGTTGCAAAGCTCCAGGAGCAAGTCGAAGCAGCCATGCGGTCAGGCTCGAAGCACGGGAGCACAAGGCTGGGTGCAGCTTGACGGACGAATACTGTCTTCCATTCCCGGCAGCTATGTTGAGGCGCGTTACACTTCAGCGTCGTTCTCTGAGCATTTGTGTGCGTGTAAGTGGTGCAGCTGGACTTGGTTGCATAGTCAGGCCTTGACCGAGACTTCCAAGCTTGCTTGTGCTCCTCTCAGTCATAGACTAGATCATCGCAATTATGCGAATGGAGTGCATGTTCACCATGGGGAGGTTCGATCTGTGCCGCATCTTGGCAGCGGCCTTGCGTGGCAGCCGAGATGTCAGCTTGGAGCTGGACCAGGTGCAGAGCAGCTGAGCGCCGAGCCGAGCCTTGCCGAGCCGAGCTGCCGAGCTCTGTCAGGTCTGGGGCGTGGCCCAGCAACAGGGAGATTACAGCCCGGTCACGTAGGTGACCCAGTTTTTTTTGCCTCCTGCACGACCGCTTACGACCGCTCCGAAGCTAAGGGCACACCGGAGCCTCAAGTCCCGACACGGCTTCTCGTCAAGAGCCGAGTCATACCCTCAGTGCTGTGGCACACCTGCCCTGCCTCCGCTCGCAGGTGCATCATGGACATCCTCCTTCCGCCTTCCTTGAGCTGCGAGAATCATGAAAGGTGCAAAGCTCGGGTCACAGGTGAAGACAGGCTTTCGCGATTGCACGTTGTGTGCAGTTGTAGGTTGAGTGCCGTGGCAATACTCTGGGGTCTGAGCATCGATCTTCATGCTATCGCAGGCCATCAAAGGGATCCTATGGCTTTCATGACGGCCTTCACAATCTCATTTGGAAGGGTGCGGCCTGGCTGAGATATCGGGCAGTAGGATGCAGTGAGCCAGAGCCTGGAGTCGGCTACAGCACTCCGAGGATCGCACAACCGACAAGGACGACTTGGTGCAGCCTGGCATCATCCAGCTGGTCCGGCACCCAGACCAACAGCTGGCACCTGCTCGGCTTGGAGTTGCTGTTGCATGCTGTTGTTGCTCGCACAGCCCGACGAGGAGCTGCGTGTGGGCCAATTATACGTGTTCCCCGACTGGGTGCCGGCCTTAATCCGTTGTGCGGTGCTTTCGGGCGCCGCTTCGAGTGGGCGGGCGCACACGCCGATTTTCTCGAGGGTGCGCGAGTGTGTGTTCGGGCTCACGCAGCCGCAACCCAGCGCCCTAAACCCTACAGTAGTGACTGTGTTACCAGCCGTGAAGTGGTCCGTGAGCGTGGACCCTCAACAAGAGTGGGCAAGACACAAAGGAGTGAACGCAGCCGGAAACTCTAAAAGGATTGCGCCAGACGGAAACCAGTGGGGCCGGTGCTGTGTAGGCTCGTAGCAGGGTGTTCTTAACCTGCGCGTTGATCGAGAAACGAGGGCTTTGAGATTTCTTAGCGTCAAGTTTCACAGGTACAGACGTTGACTTACCCCTTCGAAGGCAGCGGTGAGAGGCGCTGGATTGTAGCGACTGTCGCACTCGTTGAACAAAAAGTGTGAGACACCTAAGCTGCTAGTAGGTTGCAGGCGCAGAGTCTACAGATGCCTACAGATTGTAGTTGACTTGAGGATGTCCTGCTCTCTTGCAGACAGCACGGAACGACCCAACAAATGTCTTTCTTGTGAAGATCGGCACTCTGCCTTAGAAGTCCTTGAAGTGTCGTGTCATGTGAGTGGGCCTCAAAATTGTCGAAGAATGGTTTCAATCTTGAGCGGACAGAGGCTTGATCTGCAAACGACAGGGGACATGGAGAAAACGATTGCCAAATTTTGCATGATTGTATGATACTGTATGCCTGTTGTCCGTGGGGACCACATACTGTAGCGTTTGCTGGCTTCTGGGCAGCTAGTGGGCTTGATTCGAGATTTCAATGCCTTCAGGCAATGCTCGGTCACGCGGTGCAGCTAGTTTCGAAGATGTTGAACAGTCATTTCCCAGAAATGCATGATGCTCTGAAGGGGTAGCCCAGGATGGTGGCCATCGTGTATTGCACTCTGACTTTTCCGCTGTCCTGCTCGTATCGAAGCTGTCCAGCACTCAAGGATGAAGCGTCCCAGCGCTGCGGATGGTGCTACCACGAAACTGTCGAGCGTAAAGAGCTCCAAGAGCCGAAAGGCGGATGAAGATGGGTCTCAAGCAGTCGCAGTCTCCGTGAAGGTCGCAGAGCTGCGATCCGCTGGATACGTGGACTTCGAGACATGGCTGAAAGACTCCCGAAATGTGTACGTGGGACGCCGCGTCAGAATATTCATTCACAACGATGGAGGCAAGCGAATCTTTCACTATCCTGGGTCAAAATGGCAAAATCCATATGCAGTGGGAGCATCATTTTCGCGCCAAGATGCATGCTCGAAGTACAGATCTGCCCTTCTTGACGGCACGCTGAAAGATCCGCAGGACTGCTGCACAAGAAAGGCAGGGGTCACAGAATATCATGACTCTACTGTAGTCACAGCGCTGCAGCTAACGTTTGCATGCTGCCGAAGTTCGGCAGGACGGAGCACCGCTTCACACGAAGCTGCGAGAGCTGAAAGGTTACCAACTAGGTTGCTGGTGCAAGCCATTAGCATGCCATGCTGAGATTTTGGCCGAGTTGGCCAATTCGTGTTAGGTCTTCGTTCACCGAGCTTCAAGCGGCGGAAAGTGCTGTTGCTGCTTTGGGCTTTGCAGAGTGGAAAACTTTGCCAAGCTCTCGCTGCTGCAAGGAGGCTTGTACAGTGAGCCACCCTTGCGACCCAAACAATCTCCGCCGAAGACGATAGAGTCCGCTAGAGGTCTACCAAATCAATACATGGACCCGATTGGCCTCGGCGAGTTATCTTCTACTTAGCTTTTTGTTGTCCTCAACAAGACAATTTCTTGTGCACTGCATGGCGTGTCAGTCTCTCCTGCGCGCAGCGCAGCCGTTCCTCATGGACATGCCATGACATGCCAAGAGTCAGTAGAAGACTTCCACAACCTTTGCGAGTTCAACCCGTGCATTCTCAGCGTTTTGGGGTGCATCGGTATTTTCTTCGTGGTGATCGAGCAGGATCAAGACGGCCAGCAGATTAAGGAAATAATGTGAAGTAATGTGACATCGGCATTACGAAGCTTCCTCGAACCGGGGTACAAGGCAGAACCTGCAGATTAATCTAGCAGCAGCCGGTGGCCCAACACAAAGTCTAATTATCAATCGCGACGCGATCCAGATGTGACCTGTGCCAAAGAGCACTGCGCTAGCAAATGCCATGTTTGCATTCCCGTCCGGAATCGGTTCCGACCTCCTGGACATTAAGACAAAGTCTTTAGACCTGTTGACAGTTGTCCGCATACATTCGTAAGTCGTAAGCTGCGGCAGAGCTCTTTTAGCGGCTTGTCATTTCAGACCTGGGCGGTCAGAGATCAGAGTGAACAGTGGGTCAGGACTTCGAAGAGGCCAGAGAGCCTCCGTCACCATCCTCATACTTGGAGGATCGCAGTCCCAGGCAGGTCTGCTAAATCTTCACTCGTGAATTCTGAAAGCCAAACCGGAAGGCAAGCTGCGACACGACGTTGGGCTCGACGAGGTGGGAGTGCGAAGGGCATGATCTGGATTGAGCGTGATCTATGTGACATGAGATCCCCCTTGGCATCGTGACCCAAGTAACGGCATCCGGGAGTCTCAGCTTCACGATATTGAGGGCAGATTGACAGCTGGACGAAGTGGTGACGGAACTGTGTGCCAGGCGCTGAAGAGCAGCCCTCGACGAACAAGGCCGACACAACGAACCACATTGTGTCAGGGAAGTGTCGAGTATAGCCACGACGACATCCGCAGAGGTGCGAGGCACATGCGGGTTGGACCCTGCTCTTGCAACAGGGCATTCATGGATGGAGGCGGCCGTCATGCAACTTTGGCCACTTTAAGCTTCCTGACCTCCATCATGCCAGGCAGCCAAAGACAATGCTGCAATCGGATGGCTGAGAGGCTTCATGAACAAGTACAGGATACCGGATACCTCTCAATTTGCATGCTTCGAATCACAGGCAGCTCAGTGTAAGATACAACAAGAGTCGGAGCTTTGCTTCCACTTCTGGCGCTGGCCAGGACTCTGGAAATTCCTGCTCCTCCGCCCCTTGCTGCAGGCAGTGGATGTAGCAGAACTGGTGTCCTACTGTACGAATCAAGAGGCGACCTGGTACGGACAGAAGCCCATGGAACAGTGCCGTCCAGGACACAACTCGAATGCCCGAGTGGTCGCCTCATTGCAGATCTCATGCATGTAGTAGCATCGTAGACTGCGAGATTGCTTGGAGCTTTCGATTCCAGGGATGGGCGAGCTGGGAGGAGATTTGGAAGAAAGGTTGCATGGTGACGTTGAGAGCAGTAAGATTCGTGGAATGTGGTTCTGCTGCTTTGCCCACATCGGCTGCTTCTACGACACTTGTAAGCTTTCATGCATCGTGTGCACTGTGGATCGCCCACGGCGAAGGTTTACCGAGTTTCCCCTCTCACAGTGGTGGAATGACTCCTTTGTACATGAATGTCCAAACAAGCTCTGTTCCATGTGCCTGCTCTCCTGAAGAAGTATCCTCCATGTCGAGGTCAAAGTGCACAAAGGCCCCACGGGCCTTGACCCATAGCTTCTTGTTCCACGTAGATCCAAGAGGCCACGGCCTGCAATTCCCAACTAACCATGCAATTCAGAAGCAGTACTGCATCACCATTGCTCTCAGCTTCTTCATGGCAATCGATTTTGAGACCCCGGCTCCATGCAGTTGCTGTCGACGTTTGATGTCCTTTGCCCAAGGTCAAGGACCTTCTGTTTCCAGAGGAGGATGTAGGCGGAAGCTTGCAGAAGTTCATCTCCTGACCGCTGCTCAGATCTCCCACCATGTTTTTTGCCATCATCACACTTGACGTCGACGGAGGCCTCGAGAAGCGAGCGGAAGGGTCTCACAGGTCCGAAGAGGCGAGATGCGCTGCAGTTCTCATCATGCTACCGGAGCATCTCGCATGACGTAATCATGGTCGGAGCTGACAGTCGTGACATCAGTACAGTATCGGCTGTAGGCTGTATATAATGTGACGTTAGCCGAGATTATAAGCTGCTAGTGGTGGTTCTGTTGGCTTTGCCCTTTCTGTTCAGTAGCAGCAGCAGTGGTGCAGTTAACCGCTACAGAGCAAAGCTAAAGTCACGGTTGCCCTGAATTGCAGGGGCCTCAAGGCCTTTCCAGGCCATCCTCGCTGCCTCCCGAGGACTGGTTGCAAGTATATATATATATAAAAATAAATATATATATATATATATATATATATACAATGTATATAAGTAAATAAATAAATAAATATATGTATATATATATATATGTATATGTATTTGTGCAAGAGAACTCTTTGTGTATTATTTGACCCGTGGCCTTGTGCCGTTTCGTATTCCTGATTCCTTATTGCTTAGGCCTTAGTTTGAAAGCTTTTAAACCGTTTAAAACGTTTAAAAGCTTTGGGGCTCTTTTTCCAAACTTTTACACGCTTTGGGCGTCTTTCCAAGTTTCACAAGTTTAAAACTTCTATTTTTCTAAACTTTTTTTACTGTAAAAGCTTTTAAAAGCTTTAAGCCTTGCCCAACTCACACTTGAGCCTTAGAATCTTTAACTTTTGAGGGGTGATGAAAGTATTATATAATTATAAGGGGTCCCGGGGTCTGGTGTCTTGCTTGCCGCAGTGTCAGGGTCAACCCTGAACGGTTTATAAAAACTAGAAACAACCTAGACCCTAAAATCTAAACCCTGCTTTGCCTGCCTGGTGCGAGAGTCAGGGTCAACCCTGAGCCCTATACCCTAGACCCCTAATCTAATCACATAGCCCTGACTTTAATCCATACAATCAAGCCTTAAACCCCCCCCCCCCTCCAAAGCTCGCCCGTCTTCGACTTCGACTACCTCTTCGCGCCATGCGCCAGACGCCTCAGAGTGCGGACGTTTAGAGTACAGGGTCCGTTCACGGTCAAGGTGCGGCCGGCCGATTAGGCACCACAAGGGCTGGTGGAGCGAAAATAAACACGGGGGGCTGGGGGTGGGGTCAATCATTTTTGAACAATCACTCAAGAGCCTAAGTGTTTGATGATATTATTTTGGTGGAGAAAAAAATTATGGTGGAGGTTGATGCGATGGTGGAGGGGCCGAAGAGGCACCATCACCAAAGCAAGGTAGGTAGAGGGGCCGAGCAGGCACCAGCACCTGGGTGGGTGGTTAAATAAATACGGTGGGCAGGGGAGGGGGGGGGAGTCAATAATTTTGAACAATCACCCAAGAACCAAGTTCGATGATATTATTATTTGGGGTGAAAAGTTGATGGTGGAGGGGTTGATGCGATGGTGGAGGGGCTGAAGAGGCACCATCACCAAAGCAAGGTGGAGGGGCCGATTAGGCGCCACCACCAGGAGGAGGGGCCGATTAGGCACCACCACCAAGGCTAATAGGGGTACCACACTTTCTTTCTGTCGTGGGGTAGCCCCCAGGGCAAACTCTCGCCAATTTTTTGCCATGACTTTTTGGGAGGGTTGCCGCAGCTGGCAGGGGGCAAACTGGGCTCGGGATCTTGGTGTAGGGTCCGATCCGAAAAATGCGAATCATATGTATTAGATTGTATTAGTATCTTTCTTGATTTCGTGGGGTAGCCCCCAGACAAAACTCTCGCCAATTTTTGACCATGAGTTTTGGAGAGTTTCTGCAGCTGGGGGCAACCGTTGCTGGGGGATTGTTTGGCGTCGGGGCCGGACAGGCACCATCGCTGTTGGGTGGCGCCACATACATATATGCAGCATCGTGGCTGAGTCCAGTGTAAGCTAATGGAAAACTACAAACGGACATGTTTGGCGCTTGCGTCTGCTGTGGCGACGTGCAACTCCTGGTCCTTCAAGGCCAATAGTTACGAAACCCCGCGACTGTCGCAAGCTGAAGTGTTTCGAGACGTAGTCATCTCACTACAATCAAATGGTGCATGGCAATTATGGGGCAAGAGAGTTGCTGGCGCAATGCCGCAAAGCGAAATGCCGCACCGTTTGGCGATGCGATCACGTTGCGGCGTGTCCTTGCGGCATGCGGTCGCACCAGTGCGGTGTTAGCAATGCAACGAGAGAGCCGAAGAGGTCGCCAAAGCATTGCCAAACAGCTTGCCAGCAAAGGGATTTCATCAGGTCCAATGTCTGGCCTCTGACGGTGCTTCCCTGCTGTTGTATTCAGAAATGCGACGCATCATGCCTAGCCTGCAATGTCTGTGCCTTGATCCTATCCATCTTTCCATCGTGGCGTGGGAAGGATAGGCACTAACAGTTTAGTATAACATTTGCAGTAGATTCAGTAGATAAAGCTTCCTGCCAACAAGGTATGCGACGTGGAGGAAGAAAACACCTGGCGCAGTGTTTCTTCGCGAGCTTTTCCACAAGTTCTTTGCGATTGACGACCGTGCCCGTGCAGATGCCTTCGGTGCTTTTTTATCATGGGCATGAAAACAGGCGTCTGGTCACAAGGAAGTTCGCGCAAGGGATCTAATTGAGTCCGGTGCCATGGTGAACAGTCGCGCGGAAGACATGGTGCGGAACCTAGACTCGTCGGTGCCATGCCGAAGCCGTTTGGAGCACATCGAGGCACTGGCCGCGTTATCCGCTTGCCATCAGGAGGCCAGGACGATATCAGCAGACGAGTAGCTGGTTCCAGCCAGAAGATCAGTCAGATTCTCTGGTGCTCTTGCTCACCAGAAAGAGTCGAGTGGCTGTTTGACAACACTCGATTGCGACATGAAGCGAGTCCGGTCGTGATTTGGAAAGCATAGCGGCATAGCAAATGCAGTCTTGCATTGATGTTTGCAGCAACATTATTGTAGCTTTCTGGCTTGCTGCCATGACGATCGGACCTGGTGCTGCTTCCGGAACAAGCTCGAACAAGGCTTTACATGCTGAACTTAAGAGTTGGTTTGCTCAGACGCAGCAAATGCATCAGGGCACCTTAATTCTGAAATTGCGGGTGCTTAAATCTGCGAAGCAATTACCGCATTTTATTGCACAGAAGCATCCGACTTTGAGTCAGATGTCAATTCAGCTTTTTATTGTACGGCTTGTAGCTTCCTCCATGTGGAGAGATGTAACATGGACTGCTTGGTGTAAAACCAATGTCGAACATGACATGGTTGCCAAAGCAAAGCTAGAGTGGAGGAAGTTGAGAAAGTCAGCGCGTGGATCAAGAAAAGAGGCGTGCCACAAAGCCTCCGAGAGCTGCCCTGTCGCAAGAAGCGTGCTGTGTTCACAATGGAAAGAGTGTCTGACAGCTTCTGCCTGCTTTTGAGAAGCACGCACCAGATTGGTTGTGTGTACCGGCGTTCGGACATTTGCGGCTTGAGAAATGGCAACGTCGGGGTTTAAGGTTTTTTTAGAGTATTGCGGGGTTTAGGATTAAGGTTTGAGGAAGATATAACCCAACTGATTGTATCAGTTGCCTCGAGTGGCTAGAGTTTGCGAGGCCCCAAGCTTTTTGGGTGTTTGGGATAAAGCAAGACTCTGACATTCTAAACCTTAAACTTCAGGCCCTATACAAGCTTGAAGCAGTCCCAACCTGTCGAGCTCTCAGGGCTCAATCGTGAGTAAGGTTGCCGGTACATTGTATGCTAATGGTGCTGCAAGTGCTTAACAAATACAAGCATTTGTTGAAGTGCTTGTTTGAAGCGACTTGTGCAAGAAGCGCGTCACCCGGGTTAAGGCGTGGGCACGTGGGTTGGGAGGTTGATGTCTGGCGGGATGCCCTGGTCCTGGTGTTGGGTGAGATTGCTCGGTGGCTTCACATGAAAAACGCTCACGCCAACCGTGGGGGAAATTTGGCCAACAAGGATGATTGGCTTTACAAATGCTTGGCGAAGTCCGTTAAGATCAAAAAGGTTCGCGACAACTCTGCCATCAATGACTTCGTGAAAGAGTCGATCCGGTGTCGAGCCATTGCCGTGGTATCATCACGATTTGGCAGGCATGGGTTTTTCAAGGCATGGGTTTTTGTTCGACGGCCCAGTCCCTACCGAGGTGCTCCCTTATCACTTTTACGGTTACAAGAACAAACTCAAAAGCTCAAAACATCGGTGCTGGCGCAGAGAGTTTCCAAGATGGCAAACGTTGCCAAATCTTCAAACTTATGTTTCAAAGCTGACTGACGCGATGCTGAAGGAATGTTGCTCGGTGGGTGCGTTTCTTGCTTGCACATGAAAAAGGCCACACTTTGTTTTAGGTTCAATCCTGGTATATCCTGGTAATTATTTGTCGAGAACAACTGAAATTACCTTGTCTTTAGTCATGGCCGTTAAAGTTTACAAGACTGCAAATCTTGACTGACCTTGCGCACCGCTTAGGTGGGTCACTAGTTGAGCTGTTTGGGCCCGGCGTACATTTTTGGTGACGGCACCCTAATTTCCAGGAGCTATTGCAACTCAAAGCACGTTGTAACGGTCGACGCTATTTTCGGCAGATTTGGAAAGGCTCTATAGCAGACCATGAGGTCAGACATCTAGTATGTGAAGCTCGCCAACACATTTCGAGTCGCATGCGGCGGGCGACTTTCCAAAAAATTGCTGGCGACATCACCTCCAAGCACGTTTAAGCCCAGGTCGCCTCGCAGAGAAAGGCAAGCACGCAAACGAAGATTTTACATGAAAATCCCTGAGCATGCTTTGAGCACGGGAGCTCAAAAGAGGTTGAACATAATGAGCTTGCACATGCCTTGGGTGCGAACGGCCCCCGGTACCTAGTCCAATTCGTTGGGTGTCGCAATATGAGCTATGAATGCAGTGTCATGGGCATGTTGTGCAAACCATGAACACATACGTTACTGCCTTGCAGATCGTAACAATCTTTTTCAAGTGTTCGCCTCAAGCGCAACTTTGTGGCTCAGGACTGATCTCAAAGCTCAAGACTGCCATTAGCCCAAAACCTACGACGTAGGTTGTGTGCTTACGATCCAAAATAGTCGCGCCCTTCCCCCCCTGCACAGATCATTGCGACAAGTAAAAGTGCTTGTGACAGTGTGCCTGCAGAGGAAGAATAAGGAAGAGCGTTGCCTTGAAAGTGGAACCCACGTCAACACCATCTACAGGCCAAGCTATCAAGCAACCACATCTATATCAACAAGCTCGGTGAGGTGTGTGTGCCAACATCATCAATTACACACCCTCACTCATTCACACGAATTTACGGGTCACACTTTCCATAAAATACCGTTCCGCATATATATATATATATGTATTCTCCCCAACTTCATCTCAACATGACGGCCTGCCTGTGGCAGTTCCGGAGGACAGTCGTG